CCGCCTCCTCCTCCTCCTTCTCCTCCTCCTCCTCCTCCTCCTCCTCCTGCTCACCACCACCACCACCGCCACCACCACCACCACCACTTCCACCACCACTACCACCACCACCACCTCCACCACCTCCACCACCACCACCAACAACATCCTCCCTTTTCTCCGCCCCCCCGCTTCTCGAAACGAGCGCGATCGGGCCGGGGTGGTCCCCGACCAGCGGGAGGTCGGTTTGGTTGTGGATCCGCAGCGGGGGGGAGAGCAGCAGCATGCGGTGCTGCACCCGGTCCAGCGGGCTCGGTGTGAGCAGCTCGGCCACCACGCCAATGTCCTCCGCGGCGACGGCTGCCCAGACATGCCCGCGCCCTAAAACAGACGCGACGGGAGGCTGTTGACAGGTTTCGGCTTCCAGGGGCCCTCGCAGGGTCCCGGGACCGCAGAAAAACGGCTCGCGATGAGAAGCCGGCCGCGCGGGAAGGGCCGGGACAGCCGCGGACCCCGCATGACAAAAAAAAAAAAACAAAACACACAAAAAAAAACGTCGAGTGAGTGGGCTGCGCGGCGGTGCGGGGGCGAACGAGAACGGCGAGCGAATCTGCCACCGCCCCGGGGGGGCGGACGAGCAGGGAAGCAGGCGCGGCGCATCCGCGGCACGCGGGCCCCCAGGAAGGCTGGGCGAGGCGCGGGCGGGCGCGGGAGGACGAGGAGGAGGAGGAGGAGGAGGAGGCATTGGAGCTGGAGTTGGGGCGTGAGTTAGAGGGTAAGGAGGAGGAGGAGGAGGAGGAGGAGGAGGAGGACGAGGAGCAGGAGGAGGATGAAGAAGAAGAAAACCCGGCCTTGCGCGTGGTCTCTGGTCGGGCCTGACGGGACATCGGGCGACGAACGGAAAACCAAAAAGAAAACCTCTGAGCGAGCGATCGAGTTCCCAAACGATCGAGGTCAGGGTTGCTGCACACCGCGCGGCTCGAATCCGAACGGGTTCGGCTGTTTGCAAGTGCACTGATTCCCGCGGGCTGGGGGGTGTTTCCCCTCGGGCTTCGCCGAGGCCTAGCCCTGCGACGCGACGGGCTTCGGGCAGGCCCCCGAAACACTCACCAAGCCTTGAGAGATCCGATTTAAACCCGAACGGACCCTGGGTTTAAAAAATTGAGCCAGAGAGCCCCACGGCCGAGAGCACACCACCCTGGGTCGGGGCGCGGCTCTGCCGAGCCCTACTCGGGGAAGGGAAGACAAGCGGCCATGGGGCCCCCTCCAGGCCGCGGGTACAAAAAAGGGAGGCCCTCGGACGAGCAAGGAGGAGGGGGGAGGGCAGAGGCAGAGAGGGGGAAGCAGCGGCAGGCCACGGAGTGGCGCGCCGCGGGCTGGCCGACAGGCCTAGACGAAGTCGCGGCACTTGAGGAGGGTGCCCTTCAGGAACCGACTCGGCTCGACGAGCTGGTCGAAATCGTACAGTCCGCACGTCGGGAGTACATAAAAAGGTAACCTCAATCATCATCATAATATGGCGACCCTGACGACGCCAGGTAGAGAGAGCAGCAGCAGCATGGCCCTGCAAGGCCGGTCGCGGCCTGCAGTAGAGGAAGGTCGGTGGTGGGTTGTGGGAGGTGCGAGCCTGCTTCGTTACAACTGAAATCTGCCTGGGGAAGGTGACCAAGATGGCGAGCGAGGTGGGTCAGTCGTCGCCCTAGTCAAGTTCCCGCGCCCGAATACACGTACCGCCTCCAGAGTAGTACCCCTGATGGACAAATAATGAGTTGAAATGTGTGGTGGTCCGTGCAAGAAATGAGATATCACAACCCAACGTATCCTCGCATTCCCCGTGCCTTGGTACGATCACAGAGCGCAGCCCATCTCTGATCCCAAGACATCACTGTTTGCGTCCTCCTTTCCCTTTGGCTGGCTTCGAGCGGTCCAAGAGCTTCTGCGCGAGGGATTCGAAGTGGCCCTGGGGCGCGGTCCCCAGCTTGAGCTTGCCCCCCATGCACGCGAGGGCGTACACGATGTTTTGTTCCAGCTCCAGGTTCGAATCGTTGAGCTCCTTCTCCTCTTCGTCGGCCTGCTGAACCTTCCCGCGCAGCGTGATCTGGTCCGCTACCGAGTACTGCAGTCTGGTGTACTCTTCGTTGTAGCACTTCTTGCGGCGGAAGTGAAGAATCATTAAGCCAAGCTCCTTCGCTCCCGCTTTCAAGACGAACTGCTCGTAGAACTTGGACAGGAAGTTCTAGACCTCTGGCGCCTGTGTCCGAACCGTGCCCGGCCCCGCCATAGACTTGAACGCGGCTCGCGCGATGTACAAATGTGGTGGGCCCCAACAAATCTCAACTCCGCGATCTGGGCCGCTTCTGAATAGTGTTTGCCTGCTGCGCGTCCCTTCACGACCACGGTCGCCTTCGTGGGGAGCACCGCGCTGAGCCACTCCGATGAAGCTAGATCCCGCAGCTGCTGAGCGTGCTGGCACGCCATCTTCAGCAAAACGTTGATGGCGTGCTGGGGGTCCTTGGACCTGAGGGCCCATTCGAACGCCTGAAGCGTGTCCTCTGCGTCGTCCGCGAACTGGCCCACTCCGCTTGCCTTTTTTGCCGAGCGGAGCAGCGTCTGGAGGCGTGTCGCCATCTCCCCCGGGCGTGCGCATTCTGAGCAGCACTGAGAGGTCCATGACTTGCCGCTCTGGGGCTGGAGCGGCCGAAGCGGAGCCCGACATGTCTAGGTGCACCAAGTAGGCGGATGCCGCGGGCCTCAGGCTGAAAGCAATGCGCGCGAATATGATGTTGAAGTGCCAAGAGCGTTTGAGAAGAGAAGCAACATACAGGACACACGAGCGGGTCAGAGACACGAGCCTCGTGCTGAAAATATGTGCTGCGTGCAGTAGTGTATCATCTGGTAGCAAAACTCCTCATCACGTGCCACTGTGCTAGTGCTCAAAACCTTCAGGCACCTAAAACACTGGCTTGTGATCGTGAGCAACGCCGCCTCGTTTCGAACCCCATGGACCCTGCCAGCATGTAAGAGTAAGGCCTTCGTGGTCGCGAAGCGTGCCTTGTAGACCCTTCCCTCGTCGTAGCTGGAGTTGGAGGAAGAGGAGGAGGAGAAGGAGGTGGAGGAGAAGTTGGAAGAGGATGGAGACCAAAGTAAAGCCAAGATGCATCAAAGATGTTGCAAGAAGCCCTCCCTGCACGATCCCCCCTTCGCAGGCGCAAACTACAAGGATTTGAAATCACGTCTGGAAATGTCTCGTTGGATAATCGCCGACTGAGAATCCGCCATCGTGCCAGCACACCACTCCTTGGACTTTAACGCCGCGAATCAACTTTACTGTTGCATCCTGACGACCCTTAGTCGTGCCAGGACGCCATGTCTGGGTCTTCAACACCGCGAATCAACGTAACTGTTGCGCCCTGACAATCTTGAAACATGCCAGCACATCATTCCTGGAGGGCCAAGCATAGGAATCCGCCAAACCGTTCCAAACATGACAACGAATGCGCGTGCACCGCGAAAGCGAGAGCCACATGTTGACAAAGAGCCGTCTTCCACTCGTTAAGTTCCTACAAACTTTTTGAACGAATGTGCGCGGCGCTATGCGAGAGCCGCAAATTCAAACAACCACAACAACAATAAAACAACAAACAAACAAAAACAACAAAAACGTCCTGCATCCGCGAAGCTCTTGCCCACTTTAAAGACGAAAGCGCGCGGCACTAGGGCGAAGGCCACATTCGAAAAAATACCACCACTCAATCCGCGAAGCTCCTGCAAAACTTGAACAACGAATGTGCGCGACACTGAGGCAAGAACCACATTTGGAAAACCACCCGCCCTCAATTCGTCAAACCCTTGCGAAGACGAATGCGCGCGGTGCTCAAGCGAACACGAATTTTTGAAAACGGCCCGCCCTCCTGCCGTGAAACCATTGAACGCTTTTAAAACGAATGTCCACATGCTGAAGACGGCACGCCCTACAACCATGACACCTTTGCAAACGTTCAAGACAGATGTGCGCGGCGCTAATGCGAGGGCCACATGTCAATTAGCCTGGCGGAGGGCCCAAACATATTCAATTGCGAATGCCACAATTGTAGGTATCGTATTGGACAACGAAACGCTGCACCGGGCGGGGGAGACGCATGCGGGCTGCGCCACTGGGACCCTCGGTGGAGCTACCTACGGGGCCAGGAAACGCTGTGCTGGGTGGGGGAGACGCACGCGGGCTGCGCCACTGGGACCGCCGGTGGAGGGGGAGGCGCATGCGGGCTGCGCTACTGGCCATGAAACGCTGTACTGGGTGGGGGGGGACGCACGCGGGCTGCGCAACTGGGACCTTCGGTGGAGCTCCCTTTGGACCACGAATCGCTGTGCTGAGTGGGGGCGACGCATGCGGGCTGCGCCACTTGGACCGTCGGTGGAGCTCCTTATGGGGCCACGAAACGCTATGCTGGATCGGGGAAACGCATGCGGGCTGCGCCACTGGGACCTTCGGTGAAGCATTCTCGGGGCACGACAAGGAGTTAGTCCGAAGGAGAAGGGCGGGAAAGGAGACGAGGGGAAGGCGAGGAAGGGCGAGGAAGGGCGAGGGAGCAGGGGAAGAAGGGAGGGAGGCGAGGGAGGCGAGGAAGGCGAGGAAGGGCGAGAAAGTGCGGGGAAGGAGAAGACGAGGGAGGAGCAGAAGGGTGAGGAAGGCGAGGAAGGCGATGAGGCGAAGAGGGAGGAGGAGCAGCGGGAGGAGAAGGAGGATTAGGGCGAGGAGGAGGAGGGCGATGCAAAGGAGGGCGAGAGAGGCGAGAAAGGCCAGGAGCGGCGGCGCAGAAGAGGGGGAGGAGAAGGAAAAGGAGAAGGAGGAGGAGGAGGAGGAGAAGGGAGAGGAGGAAGAGGAGGAGGAGGAGGAGGAGGAGGAGGAGGAGGAGAAGAAGAAGGGCGAGGAGAGCACTGACCGAAGAGGGAAGGCCCAGGATCCTCCTCCTCCGAGGAGGAGGAGGAGAAGAAGGGCGAGGAGAGCACTGACCGAAGAGGGAAGGCCCGGGATCCTCCGACCCGACCCACCCCCTGCCTCAAAATGCTCGCTCCCCGGCATGCTGCGACGACGGTGGCGGCGGGGAACGACATGAGAGCGGTTACCCGTAGGTCGGAGGGAGTAGGTAAGAACATGAGGTAGGGAGGCTTACAGAGTAGATTGGGTGCAGGCCCTCCCACACACTGACAGAACACGGCAGCGAGCAGATGGTTGCTTGTCTTGGGAGGGCGCTTGAAGTGGATTGGGATATCTGGGAGCCCAACAAGACCTACGTTCCACGACCGGCGTGTCTGGGTGAACCCCCCCCCTGGCCAGGCGCGACGGCTCCCCGCGCCCTCGCGCGGGGGCAAAACCGCGAGAGGAGGAGGCGACGCCCCCCGGGGGCGGGCGGGTGTCGTTCATGATGTACAAGATCGTTTCCTCTGGGCTCTCGGCTCGAGTGCAGCCGAGGCGTGCGCTGCTTCCCGATTGGCTCCGCTCTGCACTCGGCGAGACATGGTCATCCTTGGCATGGTGCACAGATCAGCAATTGCACGCGGGCGTCCTGTGTTCGCTCTGCACACTCTTCATTGACTCTCTGCTTACGTTTATGTCCTATGTTTATGTCCTAGGCTTATAGCGGGCGACGCCCCCCCCCAAGTGCCACGAGGCGGGCGCCCGCCCGCGCGGGCCTCTCGGAGCAGCAACCCGTAGCCCGTGCGGGCGCTCGCCGAGGCGCACGCGCGCACGCCGCAGCGGCCAGGAGCCAACGACGGCGCGCGGACGGGGGAGGGCCTTGTCGGGGCCTTCTGGGGGGCCCCGCGCGGCGGGCCTGATGGACAGATTACCTAGACCATCCTCCTCCTCCTCCTCCTCCTCCTCCTCCTCCTCCTCCTCACCTCCTCCTCCTCCTGCTCCTGCCTCCTCCTCCCCTACTCCTCCTCCTCCTCCCTCCTCTCCTCCTCCTCCTCCTCCTCCTCTCCTCCTCCGCCTCCACTCCTCCTCCTCCTCCTCCTCCTCCTCCTCCTCCTCCTCCTCCTCCTCCTCCTCCTCCTCTGGGCAAGAGCAGGCCCTCTCGGGGAAGGTTGTCCCGCTCTTCGGCGGCAGCCCTCGAGCGAGGCGCGACGGCACGCTCCGCCCCGCTCTCGTGGGTGGCCGAGGGGAGGAACAGAGGGAGCGGAGCGAAGAGTGGACGGTGCCGGGACCGAGGGGGCATGGCATTAGCTGCTCCCTACCAGCTAAAACGGGGAGGGGGGATAAAGGAGGGGAGCGGCTCCGAACAGCATACGCCAGGCAATAGGCGAAGGTGACGTTCGATGTAGCCAACAGCGATGAATCAACAGACAGAATGCAGGAGACTGTCGCCCTCTATAGAGTAGCACCCAACCTGACACGACGCAGCACCACATGGATATCGGCGACTCGCGCTCTATCCGTTGAGGATAGGTTCGAGGAGGCAAGTGCTGACTCATGTGGGCAGATGTTTGGACATGATAGGTTTGTTCCCAACCAATCCTGTGGTGTTGGGTCCTCGCTTTGAAGAGACAGCGCCCCGCTTTCCTCCTTCCTCCTCCCCCCCATCCTCCCTCCTCCCGTCACCCCCCTCACTTTGGCACACCCATCACACGTTTCGTGACCCCACAGGGAGCTCCACCGAAGGCCGAAGGACTACCGCCCGCATGCGTCACACCCACCCAGTACAGCGTTTCGTGGCCACATGGGGAGCTCCTCCGAAGGCCCCAGTGGCACCGCCCGCATGCGTCAGCCCCCACCCAATACAGCGCTCCGTGGCCCCATAGGGAGCTCCATCGAAGGCCCCAATGACACCACCCGCATGCGTCACACCCACCCAGGACGGCGCTTCGTGGCCCCATAGGGAGCTCAACCGAAGGCCCCAGTGGCACCGCCCGCATGGGTCACCCACACCCAGTACAGCGCTTCGTGGCTCCATAGGGAACTCCACCGAAGGCCCCAGTGGCACCGCCCGCATGCGTCACACCCACCCAACCCAGTACAGCGTTTCGTGGCCCCATCGGGCGCTCCACCGAAGGCCGCAGTGGCACCGCCCGCATGCGTCACGCTCCACCCAGTACAGTGCCTCGTGCCCCCATAGAGAGCCCGCATGCGTCACCCCCCAGCCAGTACAGCGCTTCGTGGCCCCATGGGGAGCTCAACCGAAGGCCCCAGTGGCACCACCCACATGCGTCACCCCCCCACCCAATACAGCGTTCCGTGGCCCCATAGGGAGCTCCATCTAAGGCCCCAATGACACCACCCACATGCGTCACACCCACCCAGTACAGCGTTTCATGGCCCCATAGGGAGCTCCACCGAAGGCCCCAGTGGATGAACTCGCATGCGATTCCCCCACCCAGCACAGCGCTTCGTGTTCCCATGGGGAGCTCCACCGAAGGTCCCAGTGGCACAGCCCGCATGCGCCCCCCCCACCCAGCACAGCGCTTCGTGGCGTCATGGGGAGCTGCACCGAAGGCCCTGGTAGCTGTACTCGCATGCGCTTCCCCCGCCCAGTACAGCGCTTCGTGGCCCCATAGGGAGCTCCACCGAAGGCCCCAGTGGCGGCCCCGCCCCACTGCAGCGCAAACCTCACACTTTTCGCAGCCCCATAGCGCGTTCCGCCTGAAGCACCAGTGGCAGCGCCCACATGGCGGCCCCGCCCCACATCGGCACACCCTTCGCATGCTTCATTGCCCCATGAGGAGATCCCCCGAAGGCGATACCCGCAACGACGGTACAACTGCATGTGGTCGGGTCCTTCGCCAAGATAATTTTGGATGCTCTGCGGCGGAGATCCTCTGTTTTCTGTTCACAACAGGAAGCGCTATTGAAGCAGCATCCGTTGTGCCAGACAGCACTTGAACGACAGATGGACGTGAATGCTTGGCGCGTTGACCCTGGCTGCGAAGGTCAGGTTGCACTGGCGCCAGTATCCGCCACTGTCCCGCGATGCACCTCAGGTCCTTTTGTCCCGAGCCCTGAGCTCCTGGCCCGGTCCACTTCGCCGCCCGCGCGCGCGCGGGCCGGCGAGCGCCGCGCCGCGCGGCGCGCCCCAGTGGGTCCAAGGGGGGCAGCGCGCTCAGAGGCCGGACGGCCACCGGCGCGGCGGCGGCGCGGTGGAGCGCCTCGCCTCGGCAGGCCGCCGTCCGCCGCGGCACCAGCGCCAACGCCGAGCGCCGCCGAGGCCACTTGGTGTGCGAGCGCCGATCCGCCCGGCGCGGCTCGCCGAGCGGGTCGCCTACGAGGTCTGCGCCGCCGAGCACCGCGGAGGTCACTTGGTATACGAGCGCCGTTCCGCCTGGCGCGGCTCGTAGAGCGGGTCGCCCTCGAGGTCTGCGCCTACGGCCCCACGACGGCCGAGCTTCTCGGTCTGCGACCGCTCCAGCAGGCTCGACTCCTCGGAGGACCCTGACAATCTGCGGTACATCGTCTGGAACATCTGCTTCGGTGAAGACGCCCATTCAGGTAGCTGATAATTTTCGGGATCCGCCACACGGTCCTGGAAATACTGTCCAGCCGTGGGGTTGGCCTTCATTAGATGTTCCTTGCCCTTCATGCACCAGGCTGTTGGCGGATCGTGCTGGTGGATGTAGCGCGACCTGAGGCAATGCACAGGGTTCGCGGTGATGAACGAGCACGCCAGACGCTCCGCACACTCTCTGTACGTCTCGCCCGGGCACTCCAAAGCATCTGGCTTGATCCCGAAGAGGGGCACCAGCCTCTTGAGCGCCCACGTGTGCATCGCCACGTGAACCAGGCAAGCCAAGCACAGCAGCAGCACTAGGCCAGTGCTGGACATGTCGGGGTCCCCCAGCTTCGGACCGAAGGCGGCCCTCGTGAGTGCGAAGTCCTGCGCAGTCTCAAGCTTGAACAGGAACGCCGCGAGCAAGACGGCGCACGGCAGGCAGAACATCCACTGGGCGACCCAGTCAACGTCCATGCTGGCATAGACAAATGCCGGGGAGAACCGGAGGGCCCGGTAGTGGTCGTAGAGGTAGATCCAGGCGTGGGAGGCGGCCAGGCCGAAGAACATGTGCAGGTTGTACCCGCCAGGGAAGAACAGTATCAAAACTGCCAGGATGACGTTGAGGTGGATGTCGGCGTAGCGGGAGAGGTCGAAGGGTGTGCTCCGCAGGAGCTCCTCGGCAGCAGTGATGCCGATGCTGTTGCAGCGCACGACCAGCGTGACGATCTGCCACGGGAGGTAGACGGCCACGATCGGCTCCACGAGGAACGGGATGAGGAACGTGCCGGGGAAGGCGTAGTCCTTCAGATTCGTGCCGAGCTCGCGCTGCATGCCGTAGGCCATGACTCTCCTCACGACGGTAGGCAACTCGCTCATCGCATTCCCGTCGTGAGCACGAATGTCGCTGCCCTCGAGCCGCAAAAAGGCGATGCAATATGTGACAATCATGTCCAAGATGACGTTGAACACGCAGGACACCGTGTAGAGCAACATGTAACATATCTCCTGGTTCTTGTGGTACTGGAAACGTAGCATGTCAGCCAGAACGCTGCACGTTGTGTACATGATAGCATTTCCAAACACAACAACCATTGAAAACGTCAACACATAGTACCATGTGGGCTCCACGCCGTAAGTGTAGCTGGCCGACAAGGACACCCAGGTGAACGGCAGGTAGAACAACAGGGTCCAGGCCGTGAGCGCAAGAAGTATGCAGCTGAGGCCGAAGAAGACTCTCCTCAGGTCTGCCCAGGGCCTCTCTTCGACAAAGTTCTCCCAGTGGACAGAGCCGGGCTCGACAGGGCACCTTGAGAGGTACAACCGCTTGCCCCGGAACTCCACGCCGGCCTCGCACGCCTGCACCGCCTGGTTCCTGGCGGCCTCGGACTCGAAGACGGCAAACGCCGTGGTGGACGCCTTCAGGCTCAAGGCCAGGTCTCGCCCCGCCCGCTCGGTCTCGCTCGAGCGCCTCCCGCCCGTGCTGTGGGCCGTCTCGTACTGCGTGTGCCGCCTCGCGAAGCCCGTGTGGCGTCCTCTGCTGAGGAACTTCTGCGTGACCTTCGACAGGAACATCTTCTCCACCTGCTTCATCAGAGCCTGGTAGCCCCACGTGGCCTTGGCGGCCGCCGAGGCGCCTGCGGCGCCCAAGCGTTGCTTCGCCAGGTCGCGGGCGTGGAGCGCCGTTCTGAGGGTCACGTTCCTCATGCCCGCCGAGCCGCTGGAGGGCCGCTTGTCCGCATGTGTGTCCTCGGCATCGCCGTCGGTTCTCGGCGACTTGTCCGAGCCGTGGCAGCGATCGGACGGCTCGGGCTCCTCAGACGGGAGAGAGGAGGCTCCAGACTCCCAGAGCTCCGACGACCCATCCGACGGGGCGTCCACCGCGAGCCTCGCGTGCTCCAGCTCCACCAGGAAGTCCTCCTCCGCTCCCACGACGTCGTCTTCCACGTGCTGAAATATCCAGGCCACGGACACCACGACCATGTTCTGACCCGTAGCTGTGCAGAGGGCCGCCTTGAGCTCCTCCTCCACGTGCTCGTCCGCTCCTGTGACGTCGCGTATGCCGGTGACCACAGCGCAGAAGTCCTTGTGCGTCGACTCGCGTGAGTCCATGCGCTGGAAGATCCTCAGCTGCCGCACGCTGAACAGCAGCGATCCCACAAACGTGAACGCGTAGCAGAAGCCTATGAACCCGACCTTCGCCCAGAGCAGCCGCATCTGCGCCTGGTGGCCCCACGCCACGACGATGCAAGACTGCCGTGGCGTCTCGGCCGGCTTCGTGCCGATCACGAATAGGTCCGTGTCGGTAGCGAAGCCCAGCGTTACCCACGCCAAGCCTAGCACGACGCCCCACAGGATGACCGCGGCCTGGAAGTTGAAAGAGAGCACAAGCCCCGGCCCCGCCACCGCGGTCCTGCACAGGTTTGTGTTGACCGGCCACAGCTCGCGAGAGGACTTCCCGTCAAAGTCAGGCGGTCCTGTAGCGAAGCTGCTCCCAGGCTGCCGCAGCTTCGCACGCGACCGTGTGTCCAACGCCTGGTTCAGGCACGCCTCGTTGATGGGCGGGCGCCACGCGATGTCCACGGCCCAAACCACGAGGATGAGGACAACGACCAGCACGACAGATGCGGAGACGATCCAGCCCCACCATAAGACGCTCTCGCAGCTGCCGTCGGCCATCAGGGTGTAGCCGGAGCTGCAGACGCTGCAGGCGTCGGTGCCGTCGCGGAGGCACTCCCTGCATCCAACCGTCATGCAAGGCCGGCAGACACCCCTCTCCAGGTCCGCGACGGTGGCCTCGGGGTCGTGGGCCGAGCACGCCGAGCTGCTGGCCTCGACGCAGTGGAAGTCGCAGTGCTGGCCGTCGCCGCGGTGCTCCACGTGCAGGGGGCACACGGTGGGGCACCGCCCCTCGGGGGCATCCGCGGCCACCACGGGGTTCTCGCCGCACACGAGGGGCCGGGGCAGGGCGACCGTCTCCACCAGCGCAGCGCCGGCGGCCGCGGCCCCAAGGCGGCCCGGCGGGCCTGCCAGCCCAGCCGCCCTCGCGCGGACTCGCGCGCCACCGCCGAGGCGCGAGCCGGCAGCGCCGGCGGCGAGCCACGCCACCGCCAGCAGCGCCCGCGGCGCCGCCACGTGTGCCGCGGGCATGCGCCCGGCATCGGCGCAGCAGAGCTACATTACCAGGTCTGAGCGTCCCAGGTCGCTTGAGGTGTACAGTCTCAGCACGATAGTGTCGCACGGGTGAGGAGCAGCGGGGGGCTGAACCGGGCCGAGCGCGCGGGTGTTCTGTCAAGACGAAGTGGGCGGTCCACTGCTGCGCCTGCCGAGGGAAGCTAAGGGGAAGGCTGCGAACGCGCAAGGATGGTAGACTCCCTGGACAGATCCGCCAAGATCCAGTCACGCGAGCCGTGGGTGCTGTGGGATCCGCCACTTGTGCCGCTGGGGACGCCGTGGGCGTGCTCTCGGGCCCTTTGCCCAACCCTCCGGGTCTCGACCCGCGCTCCGGCAAGAGCCTTCGAGAGGCCCCGGCCCCAAGCTCCCAAGGTCTGCCGGGGCTTCGCGCGTGCCCCCCCTGGGCCGTGGCGCGGCTTCCTGTGCGGAGCCAGGAGTGCCCCAAGAGTGCCCCAAGAGGCCCGTCAACGGTCCAGGAGGGCCCCGAGTCATCGAGCGATCGCTCCAGGACGCTCAAAGTGGCCCCCAGACGGACCAAGAGGCCTCCAGGACGCCCCAAGAGGCCTCAAGAGGCCTCCCAAGAGGACCCCAAGAGGCCACAATCATTGATTGCCCTGCAGTGTTTGGAAGATTTGGGCGTTCTCGCCTTTCGGCTTCCTGACGCTCCAAGACGGCCCACGAGGCCCCCAATATCGCCCCAAGACAGCCCCAGAGGCGCCGAAGATCGCCCCAGGAAGGCCCCGAAGGGCCCCAAGACGGCCTAAAAGGCGCCCAAGACAGCCCAAAGAGGGCCCAAAGACGGCCCCAAGAGGGTGGCCCAGATGTGGACCGCGAACGGACATGTTGAGCCCTCGGACCAGAGGGGACCCCAGGATGCCCCTAAGAGTCCCCCACGAGGCCCCCAAGAGGCGCCGAGAGGCCCAAAGAGGCCCACAAGAGGCCCCCTTCTCACAAAAGGCCTCCGAGAACGCTCCGAAAAGACCCGAAGAAGCATCCCTGAGAACCCTGACCCACAACCGAGGCACGGTGGCGGGATTGGCCGAAGGCCATTCGAATCCGCCGCCCCCTGTCGATTCATCGCAAGGGTGCCTGGCGTGCCGAATCCTATCGGTTTTGGTTTTGGTTCTTTTTCCAAAAGAACTCACCCTGGGGCTTCGGCCTGTCCCGCCGGCCACCCGGAAAGATGCCGAAAATTTGCCCAGACCTGGTTGCAAAGGGTTTTTCCGTTCCAGACGGTCCCCAAGATCGTCCAAGATGGCCTCCAAGACGCATCCAAGAGGGCCAAGATGGCCTCCAAGACGGCTAAGATGGCCCCAAGATGCCTCCAAGACGGCCCAAGGTGCACCTAAGACGCCCTAAGATGGCCTCAAGATGGCCCAAAACGGCCCAAGAGGCTCCCAAGAGGCCTCCGAGACGGCCCAAGAGTGATGTTCCTTAGGTTTTTGAAGGATCTTGGTATTTGCGCCTTCTCGGCTTTTCGACTGCCCAAGACGGCCCAAGAGGCCCCCAAGGTCGCCCCAAGATCGCCCAAGAGGCCTCCAAGATGGCCCCATGACGGCCCAAGAGGCCCCCAAGACGGCCCCATGAGGGCCCCAAGGCGGGCCAAGAGGCATCTCAGACGCCCAAGATGGTCTTTAAGACGGCCCCGAAGAGGACCCAAGACGGCCCCAAGCCCCAAGTCGGCCCAGAGAGGCCCCCAAGACGGCTCCCGACGGCGTCAGACGTGCCAGGAGCCCACCAAGACGGCCGAAGATGGCCTTAAGATGGGCCCAAGACGGCCCAAGAGGCCTCCAAGAGGGCCTCCAGGAAGGCCCGAAAAGGCGAAAATCACTGATTTCCCTAAAAGTGTTTGAAGGATTGTGGCAGTTGCTTGTGTTCGGCCTTCCGACAACCCGAGACGGCCCAAGTGCCCCCAAAGATCGCCCAAGACGGCCCCAAGAGGCCTCCAAGACGGCCCAAGAGGCCTCCAAAACGCTCAAGATGGCCTCCAAGACGGCCCAAGAGCCCTCCAAGACGTCCTCCAAGAAGGCCCGAAAGGGTCAAAATGGCCTCCAGGCGGCCAAGATGACCTTCAAGATGCCCACGTGTTCCCCGAAGGCTTTCCAAACCGATTCGGGGAACACATGGTCCGATAGCTTGGCAGGCCTGGCCTCAACGTTCGGCCACATGGGCGCTTCCAAAAAGGCAGGGGGCGGCGGTGATTCACCGTAGGCGTCTTCGATCCGCCGCCCCCTGCTGGCTTGCCACAGGGGTGCCTGGCGTGCTGAACCCTATACAGTCGGGCTTCGGCCCAGCGCGCCAGCCACGCGGAAGGCCCCCAGACGAGCACAGGGTCCACAAAATAACCCCCAAGACGGCTCAAGAGGGCCTCCAGGAGTGCAAGATGGCTTGCAGGTTCGCCCAGGAGGGTCCAAGATGGCCTGCAAGACGGCCCTCTCGAGGGTGCGAGATGCCTCCAGAAGCGCCCAAGAAGCAACCAAGACGGCCCAAGATGGCTCCAAGATGGCCCAGAACGGCCCAAGAGGTCCTCAAGACGGCCCCGAAAACGGATCACAAAGCCTCCAAGAGGTCCTCCAGGAGGTCCCGAAGAGGCCACCATCACTGATTCCCCTTAGGTTTCCCGAGGAGTTTGGCATTTGCTTGTGTTTGGAACGGCCCGAGACGGCCCAAGAGCCCCCAAAGATCGCCCGAAGATCTCCCAATAGGCCTCCAAGATGGCCCCAGAGCGGCCCAAGAGGCCCCCAAGACGGCCCCAAGAGGGCCCCAAGACGGCCCGAGAGGCCTCCAAGACGCCCAAGATGGCCTCTAAGACAGCCCTGGAGCACCCCAAGAGGGCCCCAAGTTGGCCCAGAGGAGGCCCCCAAGACGGAGTCCGACGACGTCAGACAGGCCAGGAGGCCACCAAGACGGCCCAAGACGGCTCCAAGATGGGATCTCCAAGACTGCCTAAGGGCCATACTAGAGGACCTCCCGGAAGGCCCGAAGAGGCAAAAATCATTGATTTCCCGGTGGTTCTTGAAGGATGTTGGCAATTGCTTCTTTTCAGCCTTCCGACGGCTCGAGACGGCCCAGAGAGGCCCCCAAAGATCGCCCCAAGATCGCTCACGAGGCCTCCAAGATGGCCCCAGAACGGCCTAAGAGGCCCCCGAGACGGCCCCAAGAGGGCCCCAAGACGACCGAAAAGGCCTCCAAGAGGACCTCCAGGAAGGCCCGAAGAGGCAGCAATCATTGATTTCCCTTAGGCGTTTGAAGGACTTTGGCAGTTGCTTGTTTTCGGCCTTCCGACGGCCCGAGACGGCCCAAGAGCCCCCAAAGATCGCCTCTACAACGCCCAAGAGGCCTCCAAGATGGACGGCCAAAGAGGCCCCCCAAGACGGCCCCAAGGAACTCCAAGACGGCCCAAGAGGCCTCCAAGACGCCCAAGATGGCCTCGAAGACGGCCCTGGAGCACCCCAAGAGGCCCCAAGTCGGCCCAGAGAGGCACCCAAGACTGCTTCCGACGGTGTCAGACAGGCCAGGAGCCCACCAGGACGGCCCAAGATGGCTCCAAAATGGCACCAGAACGACCTAAGAGACACCCAAAACGGCCCTAAGACGGCCCAAGAGGCCTCCAAGAGGGCCTCCAGGAAGGCCCGAAAAGGCGAAAATCTGTGATTTCCTTGAGGTGGTTGAAGGATTTTGGCAATTGCTTCTGTTCAGCCTTCCAACGGCCCGAGACGGCCCGAGAGCCCCCAAGGATCGCCCCAGTATCGCCCACGAGGCCTCCAATATGGCCCCAGAACGGCCCAAGAGGCCCCCAAGACGGCCCCAAGAGGGCCCAAGACGGCCCAAGAGGCCTCCAAGACGCCCAAGATGGCCCAAGACGGCTTCCGACGGCGTCAGACGGGTCAGGAATGCCTTAAGACAGCCGAAGAAGCCCCCGAGAAGCCCCCCAAGGCCCACAAGATGCCCAAGGAGGCCCCAAGATGCCTCCGACAGGCTCCCAGCACTCTCCAAGGCGGCCCCAAGAGGCCCCAAGAGTGCTTCAAGAGGCTCCCAAGATGCCCCCTCCTCCTGCTCATCCTGCTCCTCCTGCTCCTCCTCCTGCTCCCCCTCCTCCTCCTCCCTCCTCCTCCTCCTCCTCCTCCTCCTCCTCCTCCTCCTCCTCCTCTCCTCCTCCTCCTCCTCCTCCTCCTCCTCCTCCTCCTCCTCCTCCTCCTCCTTCTCTTCATGCTCCTCCTCCTCCTCCTCCTCCTCCTCCTCCTCCTCCTCATTCTCCTCCTCATCCTCCTCCTGATCTTCCCCGCCATCATCCCCCAAGTGTTCCCCGAAGGGTTTCCACAGCGGCTGGGGGAACACATGGTCCGATAGCTTGGCAGAGCTCTTGCCACAACACTCGGCAACATGGGCGATTGCAAAGGCAGGGGGCGGCGGTGGTTCGCCGTAGGTGTCTTCCATCCGCCGCCCCCTGTCGAGGGGTGGCTGGCGCGCTAAACTTATTGTAGGTTATTGGTTCATTTAGAACTTCCCCTCGGGCCCGCCGGCCACCCGGAAGGCTGCTCGCGATGCCTGGATGGTTGCCTTCCTCGCTCCTGCATGGTCTAACACGGACCCCAAGATGCCTCCAAGACGGCCAAGATGGTCAAAGATGGCCTCCAAGACGGCCCAAGAGGGTCCAAGATGCCTCCAAGTCCGCCCAGGAGGCCGCCAAGACAGCCTAAGATGGGCCCAAGACGGCCCAAGAGGCCCCCAAGAGGCCTCCAAGACGGCCCAAGGGTCCCCCAAGAGGGCTTCCAGGAAGGCTCGAAGAGGCTAAAATCATGATGTGCCCCCTGGTTCCCGAATTCCTGTAGCATTTATGTCTGTTCGGCCTTCCCACGGCCCGAGACGCCCCCCCCCCCAGATGGTCCCAAGTTTGAAGAGGCCCCCAAGACGATCCCAAGAGGGCCCCAAGACAGCCCAAGAGGCCTCCCACACGCCCAAGATGGCTTTAGAACGGCCCTGGAGCCGCCCTAAAACAAGCAACGAGGCCCCCGAGAAGCCCCCAAAGGCACCCGAGATGCCTCCAGGAGGCTCCCAGAAAGCTCCCAGGAGGCCCCGAGAGTGCCCCCAGAGGCTCCCAAGATGCCCCCTCCTCCTCCTCTCCTCCTTCTTCTCCTCCTCTCCTCCTCCTCCTCCTCCTCCTCCTCCTCCTCCTCCTCCTCCTCC